TAAAAATAAGTAGTAAAGTAAAGTAAAAATATCAGAAAAATCTACTTGAGTACAGTAACGAAGTATTTGTACTTCGTTACTTCCCATCTCTGACTTTAAGTATACTTAGTATACTTTAGTAAACTTAAGAATATCCCAATCATAAATCGCTCAAAAATTCTTTTTCAACAACCTTTGGACTATACTGGATAAGAGCTGCACTTAGTGTATTGATTTTTCCCCTTTTCTGTATAAATATGGTTAGACAAATTAGCTAGCTTTTCTTCCAATGATAGATCTACCTTAAAATCAGTATACAAAAAGAAAATACAAATGAACATGGAAGGTGGAAAATAACATTTACTGATGTCAAAAAAATTCTAGTTACACAAAGGGGAAAGAAAATAAGAAATAAAGACAAAAATCTCTTTGGAACTTATTAATAATAATTAAAAAAACAAGTTCTAATGAGCAATAGATGATAAACAAAACTTCAACCTTACCAAAATAGAGGGCACCACTGGCATGAAATTAAACCAGTAAAGAACTTCATAGCAACTCTGAAGCACGGAGGAAGACATATCATTCTTTTGTGTAGCAGGAACTGTCGTCAGCTCATTGGCAACAACATGAGTAGAAAATGGACAGTAGATCCACAGAGAACGGGCTCAAAATTAAGAAAATAGTCCTAGTCAAAGCCCAGATCATGATTTAATCAATATACCGGTATCTTGTAATAGGTTGTACAAGTTATGAACCCCTCAAACATCTCATCTAACTTACTCCAAACAAAAAATATCAGGTATTTTCTTCTGCAAGAATTTGTTTGTGTGTGATTAAGGACATTTTTCATTAACAAATAAGTATTTAATGGGGTGTCTCATGTTTTGTACTCACCACAGTGCACCTCATTCCTTGTGCAATAAGCAAACCCAATATACTTACTATAGTATGGAGTGAAGTTTGTTCCATTATTGTTGCAAGTGAGAGTGTTTTCTTAGTGGAATTTTAAAAAAACAAACAAACAAAAAATAACGTAAACCCCAAATTAAACTTTGAAAAATGTTTTTTTTTTTTTTTTTAAATAAAACCTGAGATTAACCTTGCTGTTTAATTTCATGTTTTTTTGTCTTTTCAACTTTATTTGTAATATTTTGTTCTTTCAAATTTTCTTTTTTCTCCATTAATGATTTTCTTTTAGTTTTTACAGTTTTAATTTTTTTCAATTCAATTGTTTTTTTGTATTGGGCTTGAAGGGAAGAGAATGCGATCTGTAAAAAGCATTTTGAAACAGCTAGTTGGCAAAAAAATCAGAAAAACTGAAATTTGAAAGAAAATTTTGAATAAATAAATAAATAAAGTGCCCTTTTTTTGTTTTTTTCATACATTTTCAATTATGAAATGTGTTTTTGCTTGCAATGGTAATGTAACAAAATTCATAAAGTGGTATCTTTTTTTTTTAGTTTAATATTTAAAGACTTCTGAAGACACTGCGGTTGTTTTTAGGGTCTAAAGAGTTACACACTTCTCCATCAGAGGTAGTCATTAAAACTCCATCGATGCTGGAAACCCCTCGTTCCCACTGGGTTTGGCATGTGGACAGCTTTTACTTGTTAAGCGTGACAAACCACACTACATCCCCACATAGAAAACCTTCCTCTTCCCACTTTTCACACTTTTTTAATTTCAGTACAAGATAAAAAAAAAACATGAACTTTTCTTTTTAGAACCTTACCTTTACAGAAGTTGAAGGAAAAGGTTTTGTTTTTGAAGAGTAATCCTTTATTTAGAGAGCTGTCCTCTGTCTTTAAGGGAAAAAGGAAGGGTTTCTTTGCTTATTTCCTCAGAGGTTGTTGTCCAGGGTGTGTTGAGCAGCGGAGGTTGAGGCGACACTGAGCTGAACTGAGCTGATTAAAACCGAATGAGGCTGTCCATGACATCACATGTTTGTCTTCACCGAGGGACGTCCCAGGAGACCAATGATGAACATCCCAAAGCATTTTCTCTGTAATTACACTGTAATTAATAATAAAAAAAAATACAGTGCTTTTTTTTTGTTTTAATGAACAAATAAAAAAAGCATTTTATTTATACTAAAATGCCTATAGAGTTTTACCTGTAATCTTCTATGATCAGTATGATGCATAAGTGGTTTTGTCATGTAAGAGACTGAAAAAAACACAAAGAATTTTTTAACATTCATATGCTTAACCCTTTAAAGCCCGATCCAAGAATAAAACAGAACAGAAAATAACTTTTTTTTGGTTTGAAGTCCTTATTTGGCCTTTTAACAAAATATGTAAAAAGAAAAAACAGAAATAGATTTTTGATATTAATAATCTATTACTATGCGATAAGTCAAGATTATTTTTTGTGTAGTCTTCTGCCCTCTGTTATCAGGTATATCTGATTGTGTACAATAGGATTTTGAGCAAAGTTTTTAACAATAAATTATGCAAAAGGTGTCAGACGCAAAACATTTCAGAAACCGTATGTATCAAATATGATACATTTGGCATTACAGGGTTAAAAAAAATACATTAAATCCATTGAAAATTAAATGTTCTAAGATATTTTCACATTAGAAACTACTTTATGAGCACTTTTTCTTGTCTTTACTTTTCCCTTGTTGCATGCGATTAAAAACTTCACTGATGGTCGCCAAAAAAGGGGGGAAAAAAGGAAATTTATTTGCCAAATAAAAGTTTTTTTAGTAAAGCAATTTATAAATCAGAAGGTAAAAAAAGAAGGTGCTATTTCTAATACATTTATGTAACACAAAATTGAATCTGTTTGTCCCCAAGCTTTATGAGCCTTGATGAAACCTTTAGGGTTTCCCAAAGAGGGGTTCAGGGCCCCTTGGGAGATGCTAAAACACTTTCAGTCATTGTGATGTGATCCTAAAGGCATGTGGAGGACCAAAATATATCATGGAATGCTTTTATATTTATAAATGCACCATGAAATATGTATATATATTACATTTTAGATGCTAAATTTAATCAACATTGATTCAATCATTACAGTAAATATACTATTAAATAAATAAATGCCACTTAAATATTCAAAAGTGCTGTTAATATATAAAAATATTTTTAAAGCTATGCATTAAATGTAATTTTAAAACAAGAAATGTGTCTAAAAATGAATATAACTACTTCCCTATATATTTCCCTATGTATATATAGACATAGAGTTAATTGTGCTGTCAGGGGGTCGCCACTGTGTGGCACTGTTATTTTTGGGGTCACGGGCTTAAAAGTTTGGGAACCCCTGCTCTAGAAATCCTTTCAGTATAAGAAGCCAAAATCTCCTTAATTTACGATGTTATTTATTCTTGTGAAATTCACCGGTCCCCTCTGTAGCAAAAATACCTAGACAACATGATACCACCACTACCGTACTTCAGTGTTGTGATGATGCTTCCAGATCGAAGGACATGTCTCCTAAAATGAGTAACTCTTATCTTATGTTTATGATTTGTGGTGTTTCTTATCTTATATGTTGATCATTCTAGCTGAGT